AATACTAACTAAAATATAACAATATTTTCTTTTTCTAAAATAATATTTTCGGGTTTAGAGATTAAAGTTTTATTTTTATTTATTAATCTCCACATTTGTTGCTGGTTGTTTGGAGCATTGTCTGTTTATTATTATAATGAAGTTTGGCTTTTCTTAATACAATATTTAAAGTTTTAGATATTTTTTTATAATTATTTTTTAAAAAAGTAAGTAATATTGTTTCTACAATTTATTAGATTTTGATGCATTTCTCTTTTTAATTGAGAAATTTGTTTTATATTATTACTAATCCACGGTAGCTTTGCCAAAAAAGCATTATTTTTGTAACATCTTTTAGGGAAAAAAACATCGAATTTGGTTTTAAAAACATGGTGAAAAGCTTCAAAAGAAATATTAGGATCTACACAATTATAAACAACATTCCAATCAAGCATAGACAACTGGCTTAAAAAATCATTAATACTTTGTTCTGAGTATATTCTTCTAAAATGCACAGATGTTCTTTCTTTTTCAAAGATATATCTAAAGCAGAACTTAATAGCAAAGTGAACCGAAAGATTAGCCTTAATTACTGAAGAGGTAAAGTTGGATAAATGAATGTTTGTAAAAATAATATAATAATAATAATAATAAACGTCTTTATTGAGAAAATGCATATACAATCTCAAATGGCGAAATTTGACTTGTAACATTTAAAGTTACAACTCATTCTTACATTTAACCATGAAATGCCAGCTTAACTGGCTATAAATATAAATTAGAAACAAAATAAATATGTATTTAATAAAACAAAAAAATTTTTTTTTTTAATCATAAATATACCCATTCATAAATATACATAAAAAGTATTCTTAAATAGTATAATTTCCACTTCTTAAAAATAGTATTTTCATTGCTGTTCATTAAACAAGGCTTCAAAAACTTTCCTTTTAAATAATTTAGCGGACCAATTAAGCATGTTTGAGCGTAAATCAAATGGCAAACCGTTAACATAGCTTGGCAGAATATATGAAAACGACCTTTTAAATAATTCCGTCCTGTGAGAGGGTACGGAAATAGTATTTTTAAATCTAATATTAATATTGGTAACTGGGGGATTTGATTTGTAACAAATTTTGAAAAAAGCAAATTGTGTGAAGCTTTCGTCTATTATTCATATCAAGCCATTTATTTTCCATTAACGTATGACGAATTCTGTCGATTTGTGTTTTTGAAATATTTGTTACTCTTGTAGGCTCATTATAGTAGAGGATCCCAAGTAAGGTCGACATTCACCCATCTGCTTACCAGATGAAAATTATATTTTATCAAATAAAATATGTTTCTGAACATAAACCAATAGGGTTGCCATAAAAAATATGATCAAGGCTAGCTATAATAAATAAAAAATTAAAAAAAAATAATTAATTTTTTAAATTTCACCGACTTGCTTGCCAAATGAACGAAATTCCAATGGAAAGCATACAACATACAGAATATGTAACAGCTAGGTTGCCTACCTTTTTCTGGTCCCTATTACCTGGTTGCTTTGTACAGGGTGATCCCCTATAATGTCGCCCCCCTTTAACTTTTTTATTTTAAGTGTCCCAAAAAATTTAAAAGTTTGGTTATGTAGGTACTAAAAAATACTTTTTTTCTACGTATAAAGAAAATTGGAAAATTGATCAGTATACAGGGAAAAACAAAAAGTTTATTTTTTTTCAATGGATCACCGTATAGGTATATGAATTTATTTTTCGATTCCTTGTAAAATTCTGAGCATAATTTATATAACAAACCATATACCCAAATTCAACCGTTTCTGAAATATTCGCATTCGAAATGTCATCATTAAATGTTTTTTTAAACTGTTAGAAATCAAGAAGCCTCAGTATACCAAAATTTTTATTGAAAATAAATTACTATAGTGACATTATGTCAATAAGTGTTGTTAAATAAGTAAAAATGGCGTACTCAGACAGAGAAAAACAAACTATTTCAACTTATTATCTTAAAAATAATTTAAATATTTCAGAAAAGGTTGAATTTAGGTATATGGTATGATATATGAAATATGCTTAGAATTTTACAAGGAATCGAAAAATAAATTCATATATAGGGTGATCCATTGAAAAAAATAAACTTTTTGTTTTCCCTGTATACTTATCAATTTTCCAATTTTCTTTATACGTAGAAAAAAAGTATTTTTTAGTTCCTACATAACCACACTTTTAAATTTTTTGGGACACTTAAAATATAAAAGTTAAAGGGGGGCGACATTATAGGGAATCACCCTGTACAAAGCAACCAGGTAATAGGGACCAGAAAAAGGTAGGCAACCTAGCTGTTACATATTCTGTATGTTGTATGCTTTCCATTGGAATTTCGTTCATTTGGCAAGCAAGTCGGTGAAATTTAAAAAATTAATTATTTTTTTTAAATTTTTTATTTATTATAGCTAGCCTTGATCATATTTTTTATGGCAACCCTATTGGTTTATGTTCAGAAACATATTTTATTTGATAAAATATAATTTTCATCTGGTAAGCAGATGGGTGAAGGTCGACCTTACTTGGGATCTTAGACTATTAATAGTTGGTCTAAGGTTAAAACTTAATGTCAAATTTCTGTCAAATCTGAAATCGTTATTTAAGAAATTTATATTAAAATCTCCAAGAATAATGATTGATTCATTATTCTTAGTGATTAAATTTAAAAGAACATACTTAAAACTTAACAAAAACCCTGAAAAATTAGCTGTAGGTGACCGATACACAAACAATATATTCTACACATATTCTAAGCACTTTACAGCACAGCACTCACAATTTTTTTCTTTTGATTGCACTGGAATTTCTTCAATTTTAATATTATCCCTTGCATATAGGTACAGGTTTCACCATGAGCAAAGGTGATTCGACAAAATGCAGAAATAAGGCTGTAATTGTAAATTTTTTTATATGGTATAGCCTCTTTTGACAACCAATGCTTCGAGAAACATACAACGTCTGGTTTTTCATTTTCCAGAAAGAATTCCACTTCTTCCAGTTTATTATTTATGCTTTGAATATTTAAATGGATTATATTAAGGTTTTTATTATCAGCATTAATGTTTTTGTTATTATTAAATATATTTTTATTATTGAATACTTGCTGGTTGATTTTGGTTACAAAAAAAAGTTTTAAAATTAAAGTTTTTTATTAATATTCCTTCCGGCCAAAATTTTGCATCTCTTATAGTAGATATATTTTCAAACTCAGATCCAACAGTAAATGCAACACTTCTGGAATTTTCTTTTTTTGGAAGACTCTTTACTTCGAAATTTTTGTTTGGTAATTTATTTTGTTTATAATTTTTAATTGATTCTTCAGTTGTGCCTATTGCCATGTTTCCGACATACACCCAGGCGCGCCTTTTTACCGCTGTTAGTGTATTTTCAGAATTTTCAGCTTCATTTGGTTTTGCGGTTCCCCGTATAAATTTAGGTTTAAAAATAGATTGTTTAACTTGTGTTACACTACTTTTTGCTTCTATTGAAGACGAGGCGATGGGATCTACCTTGCTTTTTTGTACTGATTTTTTTACAACTTGTGAATATTGTGTAGGAACAATATTTTTCCATGTATTTAAATTTTTAATTTTATCATTTAATAATTCGTTTTTTTCTTCCATTTCCTTAACTAACTTAATATATATAGCGTTTTCATTTTGTACGGTTGTATTAATTTGAAGAACTTCCAAAACTTTGCGAGCAACTACTTCATTTGCAATACATGATTTACAAACAAATAACTCATTATGGGACTTACCATTTTTTGCTGAACAGTTAAAATGATAAGCCAATTTAATGCACAATTAACACTTATATATATATTGAAGCGCGAATTTATCACGTCTTCCTCTTGGGACGACATTATACTTGATGTGTATGAGGTTGATTCTGGTCCAGCTAAACTAAATTTTACGATCCTGTTTTCGAGTTTAGTGCTAGTGGAGAGACCATTAATTCAATGCTCGTTTTTCCTTAGAAAAGGTAATGGTTGGGGCATTGGAAAAATCGAAAATAGATGGATGAAATCAAAAATTTTGACCTTTACAAAAGTTAAGATACTTAAAAAAATTACAATTGACACAAACTTTAAGAAAAAAAAATTCAAATCATGTTAACTTAAGCTTACTGCAGATGCCCTATTTGTTTTGTTTTTAATGTGTGATATTTCGACTATACTGTCGGAAAAACACAACGTTGCTTTTTAAAACTTAAATGCTTAAAAACTACTTCTATGTATTAGTGGTTTTTCTGGATCTGCTCCGTGTTGTCGATTTTTGGTTTTTAAAAGCCGCATGTCTGACGACCCCTCGGCACAATCCCATGTTAAATCTTCAGGTCTTATCTGCTGGGCTGCTGTTGCTGCTCTGCTGCAAGCAGATCCCGAAAAACCACCAATACATATAACGCCCGTGGAAACCTAAAGCAGAACATTAATTTGAAATTTGTCGATAAACTATGGATAATAAATTGCACCAATTAAATTTTAATTATATTTATTGGGTGTGCCATGGGGCCGGTACGGCAAACTTCAATTTAAATTTTGCTTTCGCAGAACTATTAATGTCATTATAAACTCATCTAAACTATTTAATGTCATTATAAACTCATATAAATTTGGTGTGGGTCCCATATCTAATAATTGAGATATTGGTATACCCAAAATCCACTGGCTTAGATTTTGTTTAAAAAAATCCCTAATATGAATTCTTAAAAATTTACTCTTAAAAACTGACATAGTAGGCCTTGTATTTTGTACTAATATGGCGTCTTCTGCTTCAAAAATACAGTTTATCGAGATCTACACTTTAAAACAAATCCGGTTAAAATCGCACAATAAATAAAGTTTTTACAGTAAAGATATAAGCAAATAAACTTAAAATACATTCCAGTTCAACCAATAATTTTTTTTCTTATATTACAATGAACTCTAAACATTTGATATATCTTTGACTATTTGCTATTATCATTATGTTCTATAAAACATTAATATTGTTTATTTTGATCCGTTTCAGATTTATTTGGCGTTTTAATCAATCTATATGTGGTGGAAAGCAGGCTTCGCCCGGTAAGTTTAATAACCCATTAATGAAAAACTTTATGTAAGCTTTAACAAGATTATAATTATAAATTTTTAAATAAAACACATTTTTAATGGTCGTAGATATTAAATTAATTAAAAATTATAACATACATGTTTCCTAGTACACAATTAAATATTTCAGCCTAATGTTAATATTTATTAATTTTATTAAGATATGTAATTATAATTATATTATTATAAACATTTACAATAAAATTAAAGTTTAGAATAATATTTTATTGTTTTAATAATTTTTTGGAAAACCTAAATGTAATTTAAATTGACATTTATTATTAAATAAAAAAATTATTTTACTTCACTAAAATTAAATATTTAAGTAAATTTATAAAAACATGGTGTATTATCATTTTGTCATTCATGGTTCATTAAATATTATAGATATTATCAATCTAAAACAAATTTAATCAAATAAATTTGAATATGATTCAAATTTAATATTTTTAAGTAATATTCTTACAAAAATACAGGGTGCTTTGTTATAATATTATCCAAGAAGTGGTGGTAGGAGATACATTTTTTTTAGCAAAAAGACTAACTTTCATTTTCACCTATTTAATAATTAAAATACGAGCTCCGTCCAGCTTCAGTTGGCCCAATATGAGTTTAAACGTGTACTGAAGAATATATAAACCGAAAGAGGTATAATTACACACTTTTATTTTGAAGATAATACTTTGGAAATATATTTCATAAAACTAACGAAACCAATTACAATAATTGGAACTGATTAAAAATATGAAAAATAAATTTGTGATTTTATAAAACTAACGAAACCAATTACAATAATTGGAACTGATTAAGAATATGAAAAATAAATTTGTGATTTTCAGGTTTGTGATATAGCTCATTCTACCATTGTGTAAAATCACCTTAATTTTTATATTACTACTTTAACTCTCCTCGGCAAAGTATTTACTAGATACCAAAATTCCTCTAGAGTAAAATTATCCCAAATATTCTGGAGCCTTTGCTTGAGTTCTTGCAAAGGTAAAATTAACTCGCAATCGCTTTTGCGTGGATTTTTTGGAATTATGACAAGCAGCACCTTCTTGCTGAAAGGTGAAGTAATAACCATAAATCCTGATATCTTTAAAAGTTAGCAACATAGACTCTTCTAGGATTTTTAAATAAATATTCATCTGAGTTAATAATATTGTTCGACCCCAGACCATTACCAAAGATGAAAATTTAACTTTTTGCTGAAGACAATCAGGATAAGTTTTATGTTTTTGACGTATAACTTTGCTCCGACTGTCACCGACACAAACTTAAAACCGCGACTTGTTACACCACGTACACTAATTTTTAGTTATTATTGAAAATAATATATTTAGGCCCAGTTGTATAACAGTTGGTTGACAGCTGATTAGCTGATTAACTCTTGAATTTAATTTAATTTAATGTTTAGCGGTGCTCCGTGACAGACAAAGTGTACCACACTTAGATAATAACTAAGTGTAGTACACTTTGTCAGTAACGGAGCACCGCTAAACATTAAATTAAATTAAATTCAAGAGTTAATCAGCTAATCAGCTGTTAACCAACTGTTATACAACTGGGCCTTAGTTGTGTTTTGTATTTGGCATGAGGCTCCATCAATTTTGTAAGTAATAACATACGGTTACTGTGTAACGTGTACGAATTGTTTAAAATAAATAAGTGTGTGACAGTCGTTGTGCAGATCTCAAAGAGAACAATTATTTTACTCACATCCAGATAGAAACCAATTTCTAACAGGTTATGGGCCCACGTGTGTGCTATTTTTGTATTGTGGTAAAAAATAATTTCTTTTGTGTGTTTTAATGGCTGTAAGTGTTCCAAAACTGATGGGACGGGAGAATTATGCAGATTGGGCTTTCGCCATTGAGAACGTGTTCGTTTTAGAAGGTTTATCGAAGTGCCTCGATAACACGGAACAAGATAACGTTCAGACAAGCAAAGCTAAAACAAAATTGATCTTGACTTTGAATTCATATCTGTTTATACATGTAAAGGAATATAAATCGGCTGCAGAGGTGTGGAATATCCTTAAGAAGTGGCTCGCAAGATTGGTTTATTGCGTAAACTAATATTCTTAAGGTAGGATAATTGTGAATCGATGGAGATCTATATCAATCAGATTGTCGATATTTCACAAAAAATTGATATAAGTGGTTTTATAAAGATTAATAGGAAGTTTGATGTTGGATGGTTTAACGGATAAATTTGAACCAATGGTGATTAAGATCGAGAACGCAGGCGTTGACATAACGACAAATTCTTAAGTCAAGGTTGCTTGACATGCACATATGTTGATTAACAAATAAGTGGGGCTTTTGCAGCAATCAGATAAAAGGAATTGATTATACTGAGACATATATGTCTCAGTATAATCAATTCCTGCATGCATAATATGCATATATTATATGCTCCTGTTGTGCGTTATTCTACTTTAACCCGTAACCGGTACTGTGGTGTCTGGGAGACACTCATCAACGAACAAAGCCCTGTCCCACCCTCACCTTTTGTTTTAAAAATCTGTCGCTTCCAATACTTTTAAGTTGACCAGTTTTAAATATGCTCTCACACTTTGAACAAGTTGGATTGTCAAACGGACAAATTATTACAAGTCAAAGTTTTGAGGTGTCTAGTAGACCACTGGGTACCGTTTACGTAATTTTTATAAAACAATTAATTCGTTATGGATTCGCAACAAGGGCCTTCTAAAAGTGTCGAAAGTGATAAGAAGGGCTTCAAGGAGACTGTAATGTAGTGGTTTTATGAAATCTACAGCGATATAAGTTACTTTTTAACTTTAAAATACATTTAAATAGTTTTGGTAGAGATAATTTAATTCGAAAACTTCTAAATTCTAAGAAAATCTCTAACTATTTAATTAATTTAAAACTAACTAAAGTTTGGGATTAGTAAACTTATAACGCTATATTGATATGCAGAAATTGTTCCTGGCACACACAATATTTTTGAAACTTACATTAAAGTTACATAACTTTGACATAATTTTTTTGGAGTTATAAGTTCTAAAATGTATAACGCAATTTAATCCCGCCGCATTCTTCATTTTTGGAACTGAACCTGTAAACATTTTATATCCCCGATACAATTTAATACATTAATAACTAATGTAGCATTTACCAATATAATTGTAGAATTTATTAGGTACCTACGTCATAAAATTGTAAGCCATTTAAAAATATTAAATATTTTCAGGATACTGTCCTGAAGTATTCGACAAGGAACTCTGCTGGCCTGAAACTCCTGCTGGAACAGTTGCTAACCAATCATGTCCACTTTCCATTGGCTATGATCCTACGAGAATGGCGTACAGAGAGTGTTGGCCAAACGCAACATGGTTTACCTTAAAAGACAATAAAACCTGGTCAAATTACACAAAATGTATCGATATGGATTATTTAGAGGTAAAAAATACTTACAAGTTTTATACTCTTTTTAGCTGTTGAACTTTAACAGTAAGGCGCTTATTTATTGTTGAAACGAACACATAATTAATTAATGCGCATGAGCATCACGACAAATTCGTGCGATTTTCGCAAAATATGGAATCAATCTCAAGATTCCCGCCCCCAGATTTCAAATGTTGCAAATTCGCAGGATCTGTCGAAACGTCAAAACGCTTTTCCCGCCAAATCAAATGGACCAATGAAAACATTTTTCGTATTTCGCATTTCGCATCTATATGAAACAGCTTTAAAAGCACACGACAGTATTTAGATAAATAATTTGTTGACAATAAAATACATACATTACAATATAAAATAAAAATTTTTAAGAGAATAAACACCTTCATTTTAAATACCTATAAATATGTTGTTCCACCTAAATCGTTTCTGTTACGTTTTACAGTGGTTGGGACAGTTGCATGCGAATGCTTTGTCAGGAGAATATTAATACAATCTCCTATTTTATGTTTTTTTCCTAGTCGGTCATTATGCAACATTTTAATTTCTTTAAAAAATATTCCCCATCACCTAATCTATTTGTAGGGGCAGGTCCTACCTACCTACCTAACATAACAAATTTAATTTTAGTTTTTTCTCGATGTTACTGTTATTATTGATAACTTATTAATATTGTTTAGAAGGAAACTACATATTGGGTTTGAAAGAGGAGATTTAGCGAATGTGTGTGTTGTTAATGATTTGTTAATAATTTTAAATTTCTTTCAGGATGGTTTAAAATGCAGCGAAATTAAATGTTTAAAGCTTTCATCTAATAATTTATTAGAAGGCAATTTGCTTTAAAAAGGATCCATCGATATAAACTGAGCATCAAAATTGATTTTATTACGTGTAATGCATAGATATGCTACATATCAGAGAGTGTTGTTGCTAACATATGCTGCATGGTGATTGTTGAGAATATTAATGAATGAATGGGCGCGATGAATTATGACTATGAGCCATTAAATTTCCTGTATTACTAACATGTTTGACAGCTTAAATTTGTTTTAGTTTATGCTATTTATCAACGATTGCTATGTGATTGGATATTCGATTTCCTTGGCCGCCCTTGCAATATCCTTATGGATATTTCTTACGTTTAGGTAAGTAACCACCTAGCAGAATTTTTAATTAAAAAAAAAACCGAACAATATAAAAATAAATTACCATAAAATAGGGTGAAGCTAACTTTTAAATATAGTAAAGAACAAGATTTAAATTTTAAAAACTTTCTTAAACTCAAGTTTTACGTATTGGTTCGAAATACGTACTAATTTTTAATTAATTTATATACATTTTGATTAGCCCAAAATACTTTCCTTTTTTTCTCAAATTTTTAATATTTACAATTTTTAGTTTTAAGATGAATGGTAAAAACGGTGCATGAAATTTTAATATTTTTATGAAGGTTTAATTTAAATTTAAAAGTTCACAATTAAAATTTAAAAAACATTCGCCTTCGTGATAATTTCGCTCTTTGTTTCTGGTAATACAAAGGAATTAGTATTTTTCCTTATAATATACCTTTACAAATTATTTAAAGCACTGTCCAAGAAGTTTACAGATTTTCTCATTTAAAAGGTATAAGGTGGCACAACTGTTTTAAATTAATTAGCAAAGTTCTTTTTATAAAATACTTGGCTTAATGAAATCTAATAAAAGTAACTTATAAATTATATTTTTAAGTTATTAATTTATCATCAGATATGGATTTCTACAAAAAGTTATATCTAACTAAACTTGCAATTTTTCTTCATTTTTCCTTTAAAAAATTGGGGTCATTCAAGACCCCAGGATACCACTTAAGTTTCAAATTTCTTGCGTATCAGTCAAAGATTAATATGATTTAATTTAATTCTTAAATAAATTTTATTGTTTTTTTACTAAAACGGTTAAAAAGCTGATTTAAAATTGATCAGTCCAAAAAAATGTCAAAGTATTTTCTTTTTCTTCTGCGATTTATTTTATAAAAACTTCCAAACCGAAACTGCTAGGAAATATAAATCGGCAAAAAGTGACCTCGCATTTGATAACATTTTTCGATCCTCTTGGGGGGCAGTTGCCTTTCCCTCCTTGGCGACGCCTATGAACGCATTATTAAATTCTGATTTTTTTTTAATCGTTTCACGTACATAATAACCAAAGGATTACCCCTTAACCAAATTTCGGGTGAAGCACATGAATAAATAACTAAGTTCAACCTTTAAATTTGAATAGGCTCTATCACGACGTCCCGCTTAACAATAAACGCCTGAAATTTATTTTTCACGACACGTTCTCAAGACCGACTTGCTTAAATCTCATCTCATCTTATCTCTTTCAGGTCGCTGAGATGTACCAGGATACGAATACACACCCAGCTGTTCGTCTCGTTTGCTCTAAATAACATCGTGTGGATTATGCATTACGAGCTGGTTATACCAAACCCCATTTTGACCATTGAAAATCCGGTGGGTTTTTATTTTTTATTAGTAGACGTAAATAGATTTAAAATTTTGTAAAACATCCTCTTAACCTTTTTGTTGCGTCCTTTTTATGTACTTTAAAAGTTATTTTTTATTACATCCAAGAAAGGTATTTTATTAAACGCATTACATTTGAATTCATGAAACGGTGCTACATTAATTTTTTATAATTAAAAAATCTCTTGATAAAGTTTATAAATATGTGGACTTTTTTCTACAATTTGGTAAAGTCCGGAGAAAATTGTATTTTTTTAGCGTAGGATTCAAATTTTTGTCAAAAAAATTATTTTAAAAATTACCTTAATTCGCTTTTAAAACTACTATAAAATTATTATATAATATTTTATTTTAAATTAGATGTAAACTTTACATGGAATGAAAAAAACTAAATTACTGATATTTATATTAATATACCAATTTACTAAAGGCTTTAATCAAATTAATTTAAAGCTGCTACCACCCTTATAAAGGGATAAATGGTATAAATAAAAATATGATAAGCATTCCTTAAAGGATAAATTTCGTAGTCCTGAAATATCTTTGGATATTGAACTAAAAATCCGGAGTTACTATAAACTATACAAGGTGTCCCTAAACTTTGTGGCATAAATTTAGGAGCAGATTAAGCGAGTCAAAATAAGACGAAAACCTAAATAAATATTTTTTCTAATTACTTATGTTTCCAAGATACAGGGTGATAGAGTGTTACTTATCATATCAGTTTTTTTTAATATAACTTCTACTATGGTAGTCTTGGAAAGGTGATATTTTGCGAACAGTCACTTACTACCAAAACACATATTCACACATAATTACAATTGTTGGAGTGAACGCAGCGTCGTAGAGACAGGGGTTGCTTAAGCTTAATTTCCCATACAAACTTTGAGGTTAGGTTTTATACCATTTGATGCAATTTTTCGATTACTCAGTTCGGCTACTATTAAAAAGGTATACCTCTCAAACTTCGATAAAATAAACCGTTTCCGAGATATTCCAGATTACAATAATTGTTATATCGCATTAAAGGACTAATAGGACCATATATAGTAGAAGTTATATTAAAAAAACTGATATGATAAGTAACACTATGATATAACAACCTGTATGTTGAAAACATAAGTAATTAGAAAAAATATTTATTTAGGTTTCCGTCTTATTTTGACTTGCTCAATCTTTTCCTAAATTTATGCCAATAAGTTTAGGGACACCTTGTATATTGAAAAAATAAACAAATTTAAAATAAAACCCAAACTGCAAAGAATATATTCGCAATATCTCGCGATGAGACTGAATAAAAAAGGCATGATTTTAATTAGCCAATAAAAAAGAATTTTTCCAACAAGGAATCCATAATTTATTTATTATTTATTTTAAAAAAGTATAATTTACATTAGTAATTAGCGATTACTATAAACATGGCCGGTGTCGTCTCATTTCAGGACCTCATGTTTGGGAACCTATACAAAATTTACCTATTTTGTCTTCCTTTTGCGGACCTACTCTCGAGCTAGAGTTTAATTCAAGTAAGTACAAGTTACACAGAAATAAACTTGTTAAGTTATTGAATACGTGTTTGATTAAGTGTAGAGGCAACAACAACCAACACCCACAAACTTAATATGAAATTCTGCCGGGGCTCGGGTTGTTTAGCAATCCTTTTGGTTTCCCTAAAATTTAATGTTTTTAAATTTTTGTTAAAAGATTAAAATTTAATAGTAAATATTATTCGGATGAGAAGGCATTTTTGTGCTTTGCTCAATTGCTTTGCGCTTGGCACAAAAAGACTTAATTCTCCTCCTAATGTCATAATCTACTATTAAATCGTTCAGTTTCCCAGAGGGTCAGGCCAGTGATGCCAACTCGTGGGAAATTTCCCATTTTAAAAGAAATTTTACCTCAAATTGAGATAAACGGGAAAAAGGGAGATATTTTAAAAAAGGCCGTCCATGAGGGAAATTTATATAAATTCAAAATGAAAATTTATAATTAACCCTTTCCTACTTTTTCTAATCGAATAATTCAGATTTTTTTAAATTTTATAACTTTTTTTTTGTATTTTATACAAAAAATATATAAATATAACTCTATAACTTTTAATGTACCTAACAAAACTTTATTTGGATTTACATAATAAAAATATGTATTCTTTTAAGGAACAAAACAATACGCCGTATTTATAAAAGAAAGGATATGCTTATTAGGGTGTCCGTTATTTGGGCGATGTGCGAATTTTTTTGCTCGCACCCCCCAAAAAGTTGTAGTTTGGGAAAAAAAAATTTTTGGTAATTTTTTTAGATTTTTTTTTTTTAATTAACCCGTGCCGCAAGAGGGTTAAAGATTTAATTATTGTTAAAATATGATTAAATTTTGCCTTTCACTATAGGCTTACCACTCCACGATTTTTCAATGAAAAAAGTCTGTCGAGTGGTTTTCTTATAGTTTAAACACCGCTGAACCCGAATCTGAAATTCGTTTTTTTTTTTTCATTAATCGTTTTTTTAGAATAGCCTGTGTCGGGAGTAGGTAAAATCGCAAATCGGATGAAAAATGGGATTAGGCTCTTTTCACATTCAAAGTCCTGTAACGTCGCCAGTTTTCAATAAAAAAATCTGAAAATTGGTATACTTATGGTTTTGACATCGCTGAACTCGAATCTGACATTTTCATTGATGACAGCTGTCAAAATAGCTGTCAAAAATCCCAAAAACGATTTTTTATTAAAAATGCCCATTTGCCCCTGTAAAATTATGTTTGGAACTTGAAATTTGACAGTTCAATCATTTGTACATTTTATTGAGTGATTTGGATTTCGGTTTTATGAAAATAAATAATTCAAAGTGCATCAAATTCAGATTCAGCGCATGAAATAACCATAAAATGGGCATTTTTAATAAAAAACCGTTTTTTTGGGATTTTTGACAGCTATTTTGACAGCTGTCATCAATGAAAATGTCAGATTCGAGTTCAGCGATGTCAAAACCATAAGTATACCAATTTTCAGATTTTTTTATTGAAAACTGGCGACGTTACAGGACTTTGAATGTGAAAAGAGCCTAATCCCATTTTTCATCCGATTTGCGATTTTACCTACTCCCGACACAGGCTATTCTAAAAAAACGATTAATGAAAAAAAAAAACGAATTTCAGATTCGGGTTCAGCGGTGTTTGAACTATAAGAAAACCACTCGACAGACTTTTTTCATTGAAAAATCGTGGAGTGGTAAGCCTATAGTGAAAGGCAAAATTTAATCATATTTTAACAATAATTAAATCTTTAACCCTCTTGCGGCACGGGTTAATTAAAAAATAAAAATCTAAAAAAATTACCAAAAATTTTTTTTTCCCAAACTACAACTTTTTGGGGGGTGCGAGCAAAAAAATTCGCACATCGCCCAAATAACGGACACCCTAATGCTTATACTTGCAAAATATAAACGAAATCCTTCAGCCTTTATATACATATGATCATTGATACAAGCTAAAGGATTTCCTTCATATTTTACAAATATAAGCATAAGGATATATCCTTTTTTATCAATATGGCAAATTGTTTTATATTTTTATTTTACATGTATTTATGTATATATACACGTTGTTTTTTATAGGTTTACTAATAAATACTGAACAGTAACATTACTAAATTTCTAAAATGCTGTCTTTTTTTCAAAATATCACTTATATTTTAAAAAACGGGTAACGGCATATTTCAAAAAGCGTGGGAAAAAAGGGAATTTTTGAACATTTTCAAGTGAAATTTGCTGCAAAAGGGTTGGCAACACTGGGTCATACGAAGTACTATTTTGTCGCGCAATATTCATTTTGGCGTGCGATGTTTTATTTGGGCGTACAATAATATATTTTATATAAGTATAATTTATTGATTTACCGTGAACAAATTTTTCTCTCGTGTCGATAAATCACACCCGATTATAATCTCCCAAACTTTATATTCAAAATGATTGGCAAATCTCAAAATGTTTCCTTTGTCTCTTGTTTCACAAACATTTTTGTAATTTATGATCAATTGGCAAGTTTATTTTAAAATTTAGGTAATCAATGGTATTTTTGTCATGAAAGCTGGTTTTTTTATAGTTACCATTTTCTTTGTAGTGCTACGAACTAGTGGCAAATATCGTCAGTGCCAAATCGGTAGTTAGTTATCTATTTTTTTTGTAGGATCAGGTACTTTTGTAGAAGAAGCTGCTTTTTAATAGCTGGAAAATCTCAAAATATATGTAAATTATATTATTTATTATTATGTTAAGACTTTCCAGTCCTTTTAAAAATTTGCATGCAACTTCTTAAAATTTTGTTGTTTAAATAAACTTTTTTAATACCTTACTGAAAAAAATACGATTTGTTCTTTAAATGAATTAGTTCATATTAGTTCTGCAGAAGGGACAAATTTATTATAGTTATAATTTTGTTATATAAAATATGCCACAAATTAATTTTAAGTATAGTTTAAAAAAATTAACGTTAAAAATAATCTTTAAAAGGTTCTGCAACCGCCGAGACAACAAAAAAGAATTGCCCAACATGGCTGGAATTTAAAAATTAAAAAATTCCCATGGAAAAATATTCAAGGTCTTTCCTAAAATCCATCGAAGTAAAAAAGGTAAACCAAATTTCCTGACAATTTGGAAAACATCAGGCTGTATTAACGTGCCTCTGAGCGACTTAAAGTTTAAATGGAAAATAAATTAACGTAACAATCAATTAAATTAAATATGATAATAATAATAATATTATTATATAATAATAATAATAATAATAATTACCTATAAAAAATACAATAATTAATAGGCGAAGTCTAGCTAGACACTTAACCCTTTGTAATGATAAAAATCCTTTTTGATCTCGAATATTTTTAAAAGTAGTAGCATAGCCAATGGCTTTTAGCCATACATTTTCTTAAAAAATTGTCTAGGATCTAAAATAATTATGTTTTAGAGCTTATTTTATGAAAAGAAAATAAACAAGGTATCTGTACTGCAGATTCTGCAGCAAGATAAAGTTACAGATGTCAAAAAATAAAAACTTATCATAACTTTGTTAATATATTAAATAAAACATTTTTTTTTACTCCTATTACGGAATTTGACCGTTCTATTGCTACTTTTATCTATGGAATGACATATATTCCGTAAAGTGTTACAGAATGAAATATTCTACCATCCTATTACAGAATAAACACTCGTGGCGACATCTCTGTTTTTAATATCTAACAAATTTTAGACCTATCCAACCTCACTTTCTTCCAATCAAATGACTTTTCTATGGTATTTTTTGGAAACGTAGAAAAAGTATAGTCTGAAACACGTTTGGAATTGCATATTCCGCTCTCGTGAAACCGTCAAACTCGCCTTCGGCTCGTGTGACAAACTCTTCACTCGAGCGGAATATGATGTATTCCAAACTTGTTACAGAATATACTATTATTTTCTTATAATATACAGGGTGGAAACCTTAACTGGAATAAATTCTGTATTTATAAACCACTTACTTTTTTAAAAAATCCAAAAACAGGTCAATTTATAAATTTACCTGGGTAAATTGTGGTAAATCTTAAAAATATAAGAAACCACCCTTTTTTTCAAATGCAAAGGTATATCAAGTGATACATCATTTGAAAGCTTGTTTTAATAGGAATTCATACAAATATGCAATTTTTAATTATTTTATTTTTGTACAATTATAAATAATAAAAACTTCATTTTATGATAAATATGGATTTATTATAAAAGATGTTCAAAATGAGCTCCTCTGGTTTCTTGACAAAATCGTAGACGATTATAAAATTCATTTTTAACCTTTTCCAACATCTCAGGTAATATTAGTTTCGTGTCGGATACTCTCTTTAAGATCTTCAATATTAGTTGGTTTGGTTACATAAACTTTATTTTTAAGGTAACCCCACAGGAAAAAATCCAACGGGGTAAGGTCTGGAGATCGGGCTGGCCACTCAACTGCACCTCTTCTACCAATACACCGATTAGGAAATATTTCATTTAGGTATCGACGAACGGTTAATGCGTAGTGCGGTGGAGCTCCATCTTGCTGAAACCAGACTCTATTATCTGGTAAGTCTGGATCATTCTCGTTTGGAAACTGAACTGCCAAATATGGTATAAGATCTTCTTGAAGAAAAGTTAAGTACCTTTCGCCATTTAGAGTTTCGTTTAAAAAGGCGGGACCAATTATTCTATTACCAATTATTCCAGCCCAAACATTTACCTTTTGTGGATACTGTGTATGATTTTCTTCAATCCAATGAGGATTGCTGTCGTTCCAATATCTACAATTTTGACGATTAACTTCACCATTTAAAGTAAACGTACTTTCATCGGAAAATAGTATCCAAGAAAATTTGGTTATCATTAATAAGGTTCATCATTTGCTCGCAAAATTCAATTCTGCGATCGGTATCATCCCCAATTAGTTCCTGTACTGCTTGCATCTTATACGGATGCATTTTTGAAGCATGTAGTAACTTCATTACAGTGGTGTGGCTCAAATCGTTCTCGCGAGAAATTTGTCGAGCTGAAGTAACAGGATATTTCTTTCATGACCATTTTCGTGATATTTTGCTTCTACTTTACTAACAGTCCTTTGGCAAATGTGAGGCAATTCTGGATGCGTTTCGTTAAATAATCGTGCAACTTCTATCTGATTTCGACGTCACCAAATCCAATCATCATTAGAATCTCAATACGCAAAGTTTCAGTTAAAGTTAAAGACATTTTTACGGTCAATTTAGAACACGTTACTTGCAACTAATTTTAAAGAACTAAAATACATTTTTTCAGTTGAATATACAACGTTTTTGGTGGATATAAAAAAAGTATTTATTTCTTTAAGGTACCAAAATAAAATACATTTTTTCAGTTGAATATACAACGTTTTTGGTGGATATAAAAAAAGTATTTATTTCTTTAAGGTACCAAAATAAAATAGGTAATTAAAAATTGCATATTTGTATAAATTCCTATTAAAAAGAGCTTTCAAATGATGTATCACTGGATATACCTTTGCTTTTGAAAAAAAAAGTTAGGGTTGGTTGCACCCTCAAAGGGTGGTTTCTTAAATTTTTAAGATTTACCACAATTTACCCAGGTAAATTTATAGATTGACCTGTTTTTGGATTTTTTTTAAAAGTAAGTGGTTTTAAAAATACAGAATTTATTCCAGTTAAGATTTCCACCCTGTATAATAAATATTCTAAGAACTTTCAATTAACAATAATAAAAACCTTATAAATCGAAAAACCTTGTCGAAAACCAACTGTAGTAATATATTACTAAAGCAACTCGTATGTTCAAATGGCAATAGCACCAATCACATTCGCAGTTTTTCTCATCTCTAGTATATAGGTTTAGTGTGCCATTTTCAGGACCCTGTATAATAAGACAACTTCTTAAAATAAAAAACAAATTATAGAATTATGGTAATTACCATGGCGATTACTCATGTTTAAAAAAATAAATTATATATAATTTAAATTAATTTTTTAAAAGGAGTGTTTTGCAAATTGGACCAGTAACTAATTTATTTATTTCTATATATATATATATATATATGTATAATAAAAATTTGAAAATATTTTTCTTTAAAAAAACTTATTTTTGTTTTTTTGCTAAAATTTAGATGGGTAAGAAATAAATAAATTAGTTACTTGTCCAATTTGAAAAACGCTCCTTTAAAAAAATTAATTTAAATTACCATAAAAATGCAATAGTAATTTACAATAAACTTAATAAAACATAAATGGACCATTAATTTAAAACTACTTTAAAATACATTTTAACGACATATATTATTAAAAATATCAATTAATTTGTGTTGCTATATTCTTTTCAGGTATGGTGTCAGATACTTCACGTCATCATACAGTACTTTATGCTTGCAAATTACATGTGGATGTTTTGCGAAGGACTTCATCTTCATTTGGCTTTGGTTGTGGTTTTTGTTAGAGAAGAAGTAATCATGAGATGGTTTTTTGGGATCGGATGGGGACTGCCCGCTGTAATTGTGGCGATGTACAGCATATTAAGAATATTTGTCTCACATGACACAATGATGTAAGATTGTACGGCAGTACTTATTATGCTGTGAATTAAGGTTTCATTTAAAATACTAATGCTAATTTTAATAATTTAGTAGCAAACTTACCTAAGCTTCTCAGATGTACATACATATATACAGTATAATACTGAATGAATAATTCATGTGGGTACATGTGGGTACATCTAACGTAAGATTAAAATATATATGTACAGGTAGTGAGTTTATTTTTTCTAATACAGCCGGGGGAAGATTCGGATCCAACAAACACAGGTAATTCTGTGTAGTTGCGGAATAAGTATGAGAACTGAAAGTTGGTAAAATAACTCTGGGAGATCAGTGTAAAGCGATGCGGATGGGGCCACAAAATTAGTAATGTTTGTTAATTATTTTAGTAATTTAAAAAATAACATTTTTATTTATACGCTTTTGTATAATTATATAACTAAGGAACACTGCATAATACCATAAAATAATTATATTTCCGGCGAGTACTAGGTAATAAAAAAACAACCAAGTTGGACTACCAAAACTAACTATTACAAAAATAGCTTAATTAGTTGAATAAAAAAATATTGACGTTTCATAACGCAATTAATATATGGACGACTTAAAATTATAAAAAAGGCAAATCATTAAACTAAAAAATTTAAATTTTTTCAAAACAAACATTTTAATTTTTTTAAAACAAAAATTAAATTTTTTAATAAAAAAATTTTAATTTTTTACAACAAAAATTATATTTTTTTATTTTTTTTCTATAAATTATTTTTGTATGGTCTTAAAATAAAAAAAATATTATTTATAAATAATATTTATAAAATAATATTTATATATATATATATTATATATTATTTTGAGATTAAAAAACACTTTTACAAAGAGAAACATCAACTACTTTGCCAAAAGACGAAATTTGACGAATATCAATTTACAATTAATTACCCAAAACTGAATTTCATAAAAAATCAAGCTAACTTTAACAAACCTAGTATTATTATTAAATAGGTATACTTTGAGGAAAATTTATTAGCTTTAAATATTAAGCAAAAAATACGTTTTTAATTCAGTTTCGTTATTTAAAGTGGAGAAGTACCACGTATCTGGGTCTGCTTTTAGACAGTGAAGAAAGAATAATCCAGGGGTCAGTTAGCTTGTATGAAATTAATTAAATTTAACAAAAATATTAAAACAATAAAACTCTATATATACAGAACAAATAATTAAACAAACAATAATGAAATGTAGAACACTCGATATGTGAAATGAAATTTAAATTAACAAACAAAATTAATATTAAAACCAAATTGATATTAACAACAAAAGTAAATAAATAAAAACGGTAACAATTGATATAAAAATAGAAGGTCACACTTTTAGCAAATATTTAAATATAATTAAAAAAATATAAATATAAAAATATATTAAATAATCTAGTACTGTAAATGAAATCAAAAGTACGGAAAAGCAAGTAATAACAGTCAAAGTGTTACTACAGGTGTATATTTATTATTATTATACAATTAAAAAATAGTAATAACAAATTGTATGTACAATTTTATAAAAAAAAAGTATTTCTGGATCATCGGTTTTAAAACATTGTAACCTCTGATATTTATTTCAGATGTTGGTTGGAGGACAGTTATGAGAGCAAGTTAATTCTTACAATTCCTGTGTTAATATCACTTTTATCTTCACTATGTAAGTTTACACATACTTTTTAAATAACATTACATTCGTATTATCGTTTTTAGTTTTTTTAATAAACGTCTTGCGAGTTATATTGACGATAATGCATCCAAACTCTCCAAATCCTGCTCCTGTAGGGATAAAAAAAGCAGCCAGAGCAGCACTTATCCTTATTCCTTTATTTGGACTTCAGTTTATATTAATACCGTTTAGACCTGAATACAAGGACCCCTATGAAAAACTGTATCTCTATATATCAGTCATCATTATACCATATCAAGTAAGTAAATATATACAGATTACCATACATAAATTAATATGATCAAACATTTTTATGAAATTTTTTTCACAATTCTGAAAAATTTAATTCACGTATTAAATATTGTAAAATAGATATGATTTTTTTTCTATACATTTTGGATGTCTATTTAAAAGTATGGAAAATATGGAAAACATACAAGCAAAAGTCTAACTTTATTGTCAAACACTCATTCAACTCAATTGTTTATTACAGCGTTTGGCGTATTATTATTATTAGTGCCTTTTATATTATTTTTTCTACTCCTATTGCATAATCATGATTTATTTTCGTATATACTGCAAAACATCAATTTCCTGCCTAACAACGGTAATAACAAATTCATTATTTAAGTTGTTAGGCATCAGTGCCTGGCCGATTTCAATATTTACTGTGATTTCAACCAATCGGGTTTTAAATTGGGAAAACTATAATATTATTTAAATTTGTAAAAAGTGAGATTAACCATCTGACAGATTTTATTTATTTATTTTTAAAAATTATTTAATTATCTACTCATAGATTATGCTCATTATCTCCCTTATAATATTATACTATAATTTTACATAAATAGTTTTCTAGCGGATGCGATACAATATAAATCATATTGCGTAACCCTATATGGCGCTTACCCCCCTGTGGATCCATCCGATATAATATAAATTTTAGATTTTACTATAATTTTTATTACCCTAAATAATGTATACCCACCATATTCGTTTTGACACAAATAGTAAAAATTTTAATAAAATACAAATTTCATTTTATAATTTTTTACATAAAATAAATATTTTGTCAGGTTTTATTTTCTCAATACCCTTTTTATTCCTACGTTTACATGCATATTCTATATTATTTTCATAAAACATCATTCAATCAATTTATCTTGGAAAACAGTTTTGTAGCATTTTACTCAAAATTTTCTTTCCTGTTGCAAGTTTTCCTTCCATAAGTCTTTGTAGAAGCTTGTTTCCTGCTTAATTACTTTCAAGAATAAAAGTTTTAGGTATATCACAATGGGTTTTGTGAATCAGTTTAATTATAGCATGTTTTAATGGTTTTAAAATTACCAGCCTCATTAAATGAACAATGTTTTATTATTATATTTATTTTATAACAGCGTTATAGCCAAAGCAATTTTATTATAAAATGGTACCTATTAATGGTTTAAAAATTACCACCTTCATTGAGTTAACGTTTTTAATATTATTAGGTATTTTATTATTTTAGAGGCAGGAGAGTTAAAGCATTGTTTTAAGAGGTTTTCTCTTAAAAAAATGGTTAAATCCATTTTTACATAGATCATCCACAATGGATGTAAGATTAAACATAAAGGTTCTGTAAATTGGTCATTAATAACGTCAAGAACGATTCCCCAATTTGGTAATTTCATATAGGTACCTACACATTAAGGTGTCGCAAAAATGGCGCAGTTATAAACAAAGTAATAAACATTTAAGTAAAAAAAAAACTGGCAACGATGTGTTCTTACTGTGGTGTAAATCATATCTATAAAGGGTTGTTATGAAAATCAAATAAACAAGGTATTTAAAGTTTTTAAAGTTAACATATCGCACATAGGCGACAACAGTGTCATAAGTAGTAAAACGATAATTCCGATATAAGTTAACGTAAAAGATTTTTGAATAATAAAATTCTGACATTTTTGTAAAATTATATTAACTAACACTGTAAGTTAATATAATTTTACAAAAATGTAAGAATTTTATTATTCAAAAATCTTTTACGTTAACTTATATCGGAATTATCGTTTTACTACTTATGACACTGTTGTCGCCCATGTGCGATATGTTAACTATATAGTTGGCAGTTCAGTCAGAAAACCCAAATTTTAAATCATACTTATAGGGAAAATTGACAGATTCTGACTAGTAAATCGCATAAATTACGTGTTCTTTTTTACCACTAGCGGCGCTGGTTTCCATTTTGTACAAACAAAGAGAACACTAGTGCCCTCTTATTTTGGGAAATCATTTCGTCGTTTATCTGACAAAGAGGCGTAACTCAAAAAAAATCGTTTTTGAGTTATACCAGAATGATCACCAAAATCGACTTTATAATCTCACAAACTGGCGTAGCTCTATAATAAATAGGTACAAATAAAGTTTTAGCATAAATCAGTTTCGGCGTAACTAATATTTTTGCATTTTGTGTGCCGTACAAACTGGCGTAATTCAATTCACACCGTTTTGTTTAAAAATGAGATACGCCTCTTTGTCAGATAAACGACGATTTGTATACTTGGAGCTCGAACTTTTTGTGCAGGCTCCATCATCATAACTTTGTTATTATTGTCAAATTCTAACTTTTTATTTCAAAATGTTATTAGAAAATTGAGTTAAATCCTTTTATATAAATAAATATTCTTAAAAAATAAAATTAAACAAAATAAAATTCAATTTTTAAATCCATATTATATACACTATTGGACAAAAGTAGAGCAACAAATTAAAATATTTTTTTTCATTATAGTATTGCTTTTAAATATGTACGATAACTACAATTTTTTAAAATTGTTTTGTTTATTTAACTGTTAGAGACTTGCTGAAAGTAGTTATTTAAATTTACATGTTTAAAATAATTATTACCATAATAAAGAAAATTATTACTACAAAAATAATTTTATTATAGTATTGCTTTTAAATATGTACGATAACTACAATTTTTTTAAATTGTTTTGTTTATTTAACTGTTAGAGACTTGCTGAAAGTAGTTATTTAAATTTAAATGTTTAAAATAATTATTACCATAATAAACAAAATTATTACTACAAAAATAATTGGACAAAAGTAAAGCAACAAATTTTAATAATTAAAGAATATGTCAATTTTTTTAAAATAAATCGTACAATATTAACTAATTTTAAATATTATGTCAATAATTTATGGCATAACCATTATTTGCAATAACTTTTGCACATCTTCTTATCCATATTATATACACTATTGGACAAAAGTAGAGCAACAAATTAAAATATTTTTTTTTATTATAGTATTGCTTTTAAATATGTACGATAACTACAATTTTTTAAAATTGTTTTGTTTATTTAACTGTTAGAGACTTGCTGAAAGTAGTTATTTAAATTTACATGTTTAAAATAATTATTACCATAATAAACAAAATTATTACTACAAAAATAATTTTATTATAGTATTGCTTTTAAATATGTACGATAACTACAATTTTTTAAAATTGTTTTGTTTATTTAACTGTTAGAGACTTGCTTTTAATAATTAAAGAATATGTCAATTTTTTTTAAATAAATCGGACAATATTAACTAATTTTAAATATTATGTCAATAATTTATGGCATAACCATTATTTGCAATAACTTTTGCACATCTTCTTATCCATATTATATACACTATTGGACAAAAGTAGAGCAACAAATTAAAATATTTTTTTTTATTATAGTATTGCTTTTAAATATGTACGATAACTACAATTTTTTAAAATTGTTTTGTTTATTTAACTGTTAGAGACTTGCTGAAAGTAGTTATTTAAATTTACATGTTTAAAATAATTATTACCATAATAAACAAAATTATTACTACAAAAATAATTTTATTATAGTATTGCTTTTAAATATGTACGATAACTACAATTTTTTTAAATTGTTTTGTTTATTTAACTGTTAGAGACTTGCTGAAAGTAGTTATTTAAATTTAAATGTTTAAAATAATTATTACCATAATAAACAAAATTATTACTACAAAAATAATTGGACAAAAGTAAAGCAACAAATTTTAATAATTAAAGAATATGTCAATTTTTTTTAAATAAATCGGACAATATTAACTAATTTTAAATATTATGTCAATAATTTATGGCATAACCATTATTTGCAATAACTTTTGCACATCTTCTTATCCATATTATATACACTATTGGACAAAAGTAGAGCAACAAATTAAAATATTTTTTTTTATTATAGTATTGCTTTTAAATATGTACGATAACTACAATTTTTTAAAATTGTTTTGTTTATTTAACTGTTAGAGACTTGCTGAAAGTAGTTATTTAAATTTACATGTTTAAAATAATTATTACCATAATAAACAAAATTATTACTACAAAAATAATTTTATTATAGTATTGCTTTTAAATATGTACGATAACTACAATTTTTTTAAATTGTTTTGTTTATTTAACTGTTAGAGACTTGCTGAAAGTAGTTATTTAAATTTAAATGTTTAAAATAATTATTACCATAATAAACAAAATTATTACTACAAAAATAATTGGACAAAAGTAAAGCAACAAATTTTAATAATTAAAGAATATGTCAATTTTTTTTAAATAAATCGGACAATATTAACTAATTTTAAATATTATGTCAATAATTTATGGCATAACCATTATTTGCAATAACTTTTGCACATCTTCTTATCCATATTATATACACTATTGGACAAAAGTAGAGCAACAAATTAAAATATTTTTTTTTATTATAGTATTGCTTTTAAATATGTACGATAACTACAATTTTTTAAAATTGTTTTGTTTATTTAACTGTTAGAGACTTGCTGAAAGTAGTTATTTAAATTTACATGTTTAAAATAATTATTACCATAATAAACAAAATTATTACTACAAAAATAATTTTATTATAGTATTGCTTTTAAATATGTACGATAACTACAATTTTTTAAAATTGTTTTGTTTATTTAACTGTTAGAGACTTGCTGAAAGTAGTTATTTAAATTTACATGTTTAAAATAATTATTACCATAATAAACAAAATTATTACTACAAAAATAATTTTATTATAGTATTGCTTTTAAATATGTACGATAACTACAATTTTTTAAAATTGTTTTGTTTATTTAACTGTTAGAGACTTGCTGAAAGTAGTTATTTAAATTTAAATGTTTAAAATAATTATTACCATAATAAACAAAATTATTACTACAAAAATAATTGGACAAAAGTAAAGCAACAAATTTTAATAATTAAAGAATATGTCAATTTTTTTTAAATAAATCGGACAATATTAACTAATTTTAAATATTATGTCAATAATTTATGGCATAACCATTATTTGCAATAACTTTTGCACATCTTCTTATCCATATTATATACACTATTGGACAAAAGTAGAGCAACAAATTAAAATATTTTTTTTATTATAGTATTGCTTTTAAATATGTACGATAACTACAATTTTTTAAAATTGTTTTGTTTATTTAACTGTTAGAGACTTGCTGAAAGTAGTTATTTAAATTTACATGTTTAAAATAATTATTACCATAATAAACAAAATTATTACTACAAAAATAATTTTATTATAGTATTGCTTTTAAATATGTACGATAACTACAATTTTTTAAAATTGTTTTGTTTATTTAACTGTTAGGGACTTGCTGAAAGTAGTTATTTAAATTTACATGTTTAAAATAATTATTACCATAATAAACAAAATTATTACTACAAAAATAATTGGACAAAAGTAAAGCAACAAATTTTAATAATTAAAGAATATGTCAATTTTTTTTAAATAAATCGGACAATATTAATTAATTTTAAATATTATGTCAATAATTTATGGCATAACCATTATTTGCAATAACTTTTGCACATCTTCTTGGCATTGATAAAATTAACTTGCTTATGACTTGTGCATGCAGGAATATTTTCCCAAACATCGGATATTTTGTCCTGCAAAGCCTGCTTGTTCCTAAATGTTTCTTTTCGTATTCGCCTCTCTACTTCTTCCCATAGGTTTTCTATGGGGTTAAGGTCGGGTGACTGTGCCGGCCAATTTAAGACTCGAACATCATTTGTCGTAAACCAGTCCCTTACAAGATTTGAAGTGTGTTTGGGATCATTATCCTGTTGATAAATAAAACTACGCCAAAATCGGGAAGACCACAGCGAGCCACCTCAAATCGACGTGCAATACTCGCCTGCTTCTCCCCATTATTGTAGGCATTTATTATTCTTTGTTATAAGTCAGTACTTGTGCCAATACCTGTGGGCATTTTAATTAAGATCTTTGTAACGAAAATTGCCGAAACTAAAATAATTAATGATTTAAAGAATAAATAATAAAAATAATTATTAAGTGTTGCCTTACTTTTGACCAATTAAAAAATAAAAATATTCGAAAAACACACAACAACAAACTAGTCTTAATGGCCTCTCATAACTTATGTCATTAAATTGACAGCTGCCTACTATGCTTTAATTATAACTATTAAACTTTAGAAAATTCTAGTTTCAAATGCTCACAAAATATAATTTTAAAATTTTTTCAGTTTGTTGCTTTACTTTTGTCCAATAGTGTATATATAGTATATATAGTATATTCTAATAAGTCTTAAATAATTTAATTTTAGTAAAAATGTATTTTTATTTCCGTCAGTTCCCACATCCAAGGTAAATAATTATTAGTCGATCCCAGTCAAAGGAAACATATGATGTATAGAAATATGTTTGTTAAAGCAAAGTTTGAATTTTTAATTCTTTATAACGTAAATGTACAATTTTAACTATAATTTAAGCAGGCTTATATTGCCACTCCCACTTTAGAGGCAAGCCAATCATATGTCTAGTAGCGAGGGGGGTTAAAACCACTCGAACTGTTAAGCAGGACGCGCACTGAATTCGCTCGACTCGGATCGGCACGGAACGGGTCAGATCAGCACGACTTTTATCCGCGCACTGATTCGACTAGAAACTAGTTCTCTTTCGGCATCCGAGCAAATTATTGTCCAGAAAACAAAATGAGTTCATCATCGGATTCCACCCTACTCACGGCCGGATTAAGATAAATTTAGGGGGCACTCAAAGTTCTTTATTAAAAGAAAAATGTAATAAATGTAAACATTTTGTCGGTGGTGTCAGGGGTCCTGAGTGGCGGGGCCTGGGGCTATAGCCCCCCTTAATCCAGGGCTGACCCTACTGTGTAATTAGTATAATCAACTCGACGTTCGGCAGAAGTTGCCTTCCCAAGGAACCTCGGACGTAGACGAGTCGAGTCGAACGGTCTCTGCCGTGCCGATCCGAATGAGTGCGCGGGGATATATTGAAATAACAACAATGCAAAACGTTCGGCACTGCTGTGCCGTGCCGATCCGAGTCGAGCGAATTCAGTGCGCGTCCTGCTTTAGACGACAATCGACATTCAATCCATTAAGCCGCATTGAAACAAATGGGCAGTATCGACTACCCAAATTGATCGCCAATGATCTAGTTTTTATTTCACTTGTTTAAATAGTTTTTGTTTAAGTTATGTGTAAATAAATATCTACTTAAAAACCATACACTATTGTGGTTTTAATCAACAATACAAAAACATTAAACAAACACAAGCATCGTTTTATGGTCCTTTGAGCAACAATTTAACAACAATTACCAAACAATAAACAATGTTTAAAAACATAATCATACACAAATTGACTTTTTATTGGATATTTGTTTTCTTTAGGGCCTGTGCGTTTCGTGCTTGTTTTGTTTCGCCAATCAGGACGTCCATCACGAGATCAAGTCCTTCTTTCACCGGAAATTGCTCCGAAACAGGTGGAACAACTGGACGCAGGACAGTGGAGGCGTATACGTAGTAAACGGCCTTAGCCAAAGTAACCATATGGCATTACTTTCATTAAAAAGAAAGTCAACCACTACTGTTAGGCTTTAAGGTCAGTTGTAATTTAGTAAGTATTTGTTTAAGTTTATTTTTATTTTTGAAGAGAAGAGTGATTAAAAAAATCGAATATTTTTTTTACTTATTGGTTCTTAGGCACCAAATTTGAGCTCTTAATGTTAATAGGAAGATCCACCTTCTGTTTTATATTTGGTCCCTTATAAAAAAGAACAAATTTCATTATAATTATTAATCAATCGTTTAATCAAATATTTATACATAATTTTGTAGGAAATTGAATGCTCTACAAGAATGGACTAATGTGTTTAAGCGATTACTCTAACCATTTAAAAGATATTCAAGATCAAATTATTTTTAATAATTTTGTAACTCATTAAAAAATATATATTGTCAAATAAGTATGACATATTTTTGTACCGTCATTCTTGTTTTACTCAGGACATGTAAGAGTACTCTTGCTATAATATACAAGTCTTTTTCCACTCCTATTATGCAAAATAACCGTTCTAATGTCACATTTTGAAATGGAAATACATAATATATTATATTCCTTAAAGTGTTTCAAAATTAATTAATTTTATCATCGGAAGACGAAATAAACACTGGGGTATCTCTGTGTTTATTATCTAACAACTTTAAGACCTATCCAAGCCCACTTTATTCCAATAAAATTATTTTTCTATGATATTTTTTAAAAACGTAGAAAAAGTATAGTCTGAAACACATTTGGAATTGCATATTCCGCTCTCGTGAATCCGTCAAACTCGCCTTCGTCTCGTGTGACCACTTTTCACTCGAGCGGAATATGCCGTATTCCAAACTTGTTACAGAATATACTACGTATTTTAGTACACAAAATATAATTTTTAAATGTTATACGTGGATGAATAAAACAATAGTTTTTTACGAAAACATAATTAAAAGTTTTCGCATTTTTATAGTGGAGGACCCTTTATACTGATTCGGCACAGACTGCAGAAAAATATATTTTTAATAATGCAGGATTTTAAATTAAAAAATACTTTGAAATAAAATTTATAAACCTCAGCGTTATTTTTAAAGAAAAAATATGTCAATTCACTTCTTTTTATTTGTTTTAAAATAAAACATTTTTATTATAAAAGCAATTTATTTATATATTATATTATAAAAAGAGCAAAATGCAGAACGTTTTCATTATGACGTTATGGACGCCGTTATCAAGTATAGGTATACTATACTATACACTATACTAAAAAATTGATGGGAGACTATTTGGGGTTTAACAAGGGAAATAAACCTAACAGAAAGAGTTTAAGTACTTCACTGTTAAACTTTTATCAAATATTTTGTAAACTAATATAATAAAGTTGAAGTTAATAAAAACAAATTACAAAATTAATATATTTGTATTGTGTTTTTAACCTATGAAAATTAAAAGCATATATTTTCTTAAATATTAAAAAGACATTATCCAGGCTATAAAAGCAAACTTTTTAAGGAAATATTTTTTTTTTCGAATGAATGTTTATAAACCTATCGTAAAATTTATGTTTACTTATGTAATTAATTAGTGTCTATTAAATTATTAAGTGAAATAAAAAAACATTAACCAATTATTTATAAAAAGAATATTTTTTAATTATATTCTCTGCCTCGCAAAAATCTAAAAAGAACAGAAAGGAACATTGTATCTTTAAAAGTCGTATTTCATTGAAAAAAGATTGAGCCACGTATAGTTTTACTAAAATCATAAAAAAGCAGCCGCGCGCGCGACTGTATTTTTTAACTTACGCGCTCGTAAAATTGATTATTGACTATCAATTATTTGGTGAACAAAAAATGAGCGAGGTAAATAAATCCTGTTTATTAACAAATGTGTGTATATATAGGGTAAATACTTAAATTGTGGTCATTCCTTATACAAAATAAATATTCTTAAAATAAAGAAAATTAAATTCAATTTTTAAACCCCATGCAATAACTCGAAAATACCTATAGCTTAGCTTACAGACACCCTGTATATATCGGCAATAATTACAGCAATTGTTTTAATGTTTAACACCAAATAAATTTAAGTAGTTACTATAATAATTTTATATAAATCGCAGCCAGTACACGCGGATATTTATCTACAGACGACGCGTCGGTACACAATTCCACAAACTATACGATTTTGGTCTTAAGCCAGGAGAAATATCGCATCTCAATCAAAAGTGATGTGATTCCTGAGGGACTTGCACACGTAATTAAAATATTTAAATTAGTTTGTCAAAATTCAATTCAAATGTCGACCAGCTCATTGTGTTGTTGTTGGATATAGCGGCAATGTTTGTGTGTGCAAAACTCAAAACTAAACTAAAAATGCTGTGATAATTAAATTAAAATTTTTATTGCAGACTAATTATTTTTTAATGGCTAAATAAAGCCTTTATAAAGGCCTATAGGACAGTGGTAAGTTTTTCCCCAAAAACACACGGTAAAGGGGAAAGGAAAAAAATACATGTTTGTGCTAATTGGGTGTATTCTAACGACAATTAAAATATCTTTAAAATTCAAGACCCTACCCTGTAATCATTTGCCCTTATTTGGTTTAACCCTATTTGCCAATTTAATTTATTTTTATAAAAAATGTAATTGATAATGTTGTTTATGTTATATTTTTAAATCTCATTTTTTTTAGGTAGGATAAAACTTTGAGTTTGGTATAATTTAATAAAGTTTGGACATTCCGAGATCTTACCGATAAACTTAATTGAAATAAAATACGTCTCAGTACAGTAGGTACGTGTAAATTGGATATCCTTCGGTAAGAAAGTTGATTGTTATGTTAATTGTTCAAACATAATATGTTTGAAATACCTAAGGGGAAATATATTATATTTCCCCTTAGGTCTTAAATGAATATTTCCCCTTAGGTCTTAAATGAAATTGACAACGAATTTGAATATTTTAAATTCTTTTATATAAATTATTTAAAATTTAAATGCATTTATCAAATAAAGCAAAATTTGACCAGTAGATATTATTTTGCAAAATGAAAATCAACAAATAAAACATAAAATGCATTTTCCGGTTACGTTCTATTTCCATTAAATTTTGATGTTTAATTTAGTTTAAAGTTGTTGATATTTAGATTTAAAAATAAATTATATTTTATTTATATTGAATTTTACGAAAACATTTTGGGGTCAATCCATAACAAATCAACCAATTTAATTTAAAAACTTTGCTGGAAAAATTCATTTTTTAAAACTATGTTTGTACTATACTCAGAGTTGAAAACTGATATTCATTAATTTTTTAGATGTTTGCTTTTTGGTGTGCGGTCATTTTGTTTTCTTGCGTGAGCCTATTTTGCATTTTACAGAGGTTTGATTTAAACTCTGTGGCTTCTTGGTTTTTAAAGATAGTTTTACTACACAAAAACCAGGTTAAAGATCATAAAATTTAAAATATTTTATGTCCAGTATACTGCCGTGTTAAGCTTAAAGGTCGTATCTGCAATATTTTGTAGTAAAGGACAGAAGAAAATTTTAATTTTAAAAAACGATAAAAAATGGCTTTTTTGCTTAACTACTAAATATTGCAGACATGAAGTTTTGTCTTCGAACGGCAGTTTGTGGTAGTAAAGAAAAAACTTTATTCTTTATTGTTTTTAAAAATTAAAATTTTCTTCTGTCCTTTACTACAAAATATTGTAGATACGACCTCTATCCCAGGGCAGTATAGGCCTACTTAATTTAAAATAAACAAAAAAATATTTATTTATAAATAAAAAAATATTAAAGTTGAAGAGAGAGTCTTAGTTTTATCTTTCACATAATGAAATTTTAACAACTTATTACATCACAATAATAGCATGATTTTTAAAAATTTTTAATTTTTATAGTATCCTTTCCGAGATATTTCAAATTGAAAAAAAAAATCAAATAAAAAATAAATAAATTTTGTCAGCAACCATCATTGGTTTATTTGACAAGGATTGACCCCTTATCGATTGTATTTTTTATCCCGGCGCATTCGCCAAAATTGCAAGATTTAGTAAATCATAAGTAGATATGGGATTTTAGGTTGCCTAATTTATAATGGTAGGTACCTAAATAGGTGAAGTTTTTTTTGTTTTAGGTGAGAAAATTCTTTAATTAGGTACGTACTTTACGAAAATAACTACTGCAAAGCAAGTAGGTGATAAAATAATTTAATTTATTAATGTATAAAATTTTATTGAACAATATTTTTATGATTTGAAGAAATTAAAAATAACTGACGAATATATTTTGTAAAAGTAACATCATAAATTTTATATTATTTTAATTTTAACATTCAAAATATTTTTGTTAGCTTACAATTTCTGAAAATAACAAATTTACATTGTACAAAATACTCTTATAGACAAGCACACATTTGCTAGAATTTGTGAAAATACATAAGATTTGTAAATAAAACATGATAACATGAGATTAATTGAAAAAACTTAAGATTTCATGCAAAAGAAATATTGCACATGACCAACCAACCCACATTACAAATCCAGTAATACAAAAAAAACTACTACTATGGTGCATAAGAATGATGTCATCCGAATACGAAAACCCCAATATTACAAAAAAGCATGTTTTTGAAGATAAAATTTGGTTTAGTTTTGTTAAAAAAAAGAATTTAAGTGAAATAGGTAGCAAAATGTAAAAATTAGGTCCATTTCTCTTGAAAGTGAAAATTTAGGTAAAATATTTAAAATAAAACAATCTTAAATAAAATCATTTTCTTCAATACGGATTTTATTTCATTGCACCTAAAGTTATGATTAGATTAGACAAATAGGTACCTAAAAATAATAATAATAATAATAATAATAATTACGTAATAACACTAAAATCCCATCTCTAATTTTAAAGTGATATTTTTTTTAACAACAATTAAACTGTACTTTTTTAAAACTTATTATATTACTTTAGGGGGCTATCAAACAAAGCAAACTTTAATATTATTTATGAGCACTCTCCATCACATTTATCAAAGTTTTTGTAAAAATATGAGTCCAGTTAAAAATA